TAACGAGAGTACAAAGGGTCGCATCGTGGCAGAGAGCCACGTGGTCGCTATACTTAGTTAAGTATAGTGACTATACATATTTGCTCATTAATAGGCTACAGATCCAGTAAATAGTGACTAGCACTAAGTATAGAATAGGTGCTTCTATATTTAGTGTTAGAAGATAAACATAAATAAATCAGTTATAAACCTGCTCTGATTAGCGCTAGTTGCTAGAGCGTTCTATTCTGTATAGGAATTATATTTTTAAATAGTCTCTCTGATACTCGGTCAATACCGATAGGTATAAGCTTACGAGCTAGCCTAGGAGGGTTAAAGACTCTAAGACTTAGAAGCTCTCTAAGCTTGTCTTCCTCTGCACCTAGTGCATTAGTAACTTGGCTACAGAAGCTCGGCTACACCTAATAGCACTTGTAGTCAATCCCGCAACTGAATGTGCGACTACTTCTCTGTGTGAGATTGGACATCAAAGAGATGTCAGCGGTGGGCCTGTCACAGGCACAACAGGAAGAAATATTGAAGCTCTCCCCTACTCTTGGCCTCATCAGCGTCAACAGGTGTACACACCTCAAGGTCAAAGACCACTTCGTTTACTGACTGCACCCGACCCTCTTGGGTCAATGCCTCGTCATGAGGTGCTCGCATCTCGTTGTACTCAAACACAACCGTCATTTTTGACTTCGCCCGACCCTCCAGGGCCAGTACCTCGTCGTTAGGTGCATGCACCTCGTTATCCTCAAAGACAACATCCATTTGTGACTTCACCCGGCCCTCCAGGGTCAGTTCCTCGTCACTCATGTCACTTGGACTCATGTCCTGACATCTTGGCTTGCAGCCACCAACACCACTCACGGTGTTTAATGATGTAACATCATTCTCATGACACATGTCATATGTGCCATCTAGTGGGTTCTCAACCCCACTATCGACAGTCCTTGGGCCTCGCCCAGGACTATTGTCCTCGACACTTACAGTGTCTACAAAGTCGGATATTTCGACATCCAACATATTGACCGACTCGGTCCAATATCCGCGCCAAAAACACTTTTGCTTCCTAGCAGAGGTGGGTTCATGACTCTCCAGAGCCCCACCAGAAGCATTGCGCGTTGCGCCTAAGGTCTTTGACCTCCAATCAATCCATGGCTTATGACGTTCTAGCCATGCTATGCCTAGGATGAGGTCATACCTCGCATCCAGGTCTAAGACCAAACAGCGTTCCATGCTGTTAAAGTCCAAGAACTTTACAACTAACTCCATCGGGACTTTGGGTACCGTAACACGCGTACCAGTCGCTAAGCGAACTGTGACTGTGTCACTTTCACGCGCTACAAGCGCTTCAGCATACTGCTGACTACCTTCCACGGTGGCACGGCGCACATAATTGCCCGATGCCCCCGAATCGATCAAAATGATCCATGGCTTATCATAGCCCTTAATCGTCCCTTCGACAGACTAGCAAGCCTGGCTTGCATTCTCGTTACATTATTGAAAGTTTGGATCTCTTTGGGGCTGGGCCCTGTTTACTTCTACCTCCTAGAGGTTCAACAGAACTCAGTTCTTCCCCAGTAGTACGCCCCTGGCCTCCGCTGTTTCCCCGCGGCAAACTAGAAGGTTTACCCATGGGGTAATGAAGCAACTCATTATATTTCGTAGTCATAGATTTCTTACATAATTACGTAAGTAGGTGTATGCAGTATCCGAGAAACGGATTTTGTATTTATATTAGGTAGCTATAGGTTTTATTATATAAAGACATAAGCATGTATATGCAGTATTCGAATAGCGGTTACTGCACGTTATTTGCTATTGACTATTATTGGGGTGCCAGACCCAATAATTAAACAGTGTTAAATTGACCCAATTTGGGTGATTTTCACGAAAAGGGAACAATTTTGTACTTAGTACGATCTAAAAACAAAAATATAAGCAGAGCAAATTTTTTTTTACCTAAAATAAGAACAGCGCTTCCTCTAGTTTTTTTGCAGTGTAAAACGGTAACAAGCTCTTACCTTGTTATACCTGGTAGCACTTAGTAGTCCTTCCCATGACCAAGTGCGAGATGAGCGTGGACGAATCTCCGATCGCTCCAGCTGTTTTGTCGGAGCATGCCAATTTCCCTCATCTTACTACTGTGGAATTGCAGGCATTACACCACCTTACTGTGGCGTCTGGTAGATGTTCGTAACGTCGCTGCTGTACACAGCGGCGCTTGAACAACACCGTGCCGCTATCCAAGACTACATGGTGCGCAAGCTCGCCGAAGCAAATCGGCGGATACAGACTCCCTCGCGCACCTCCCATGATGATGCGACTAAAATTTGAGACATCTACGTACTCGGGCGATGACCAAGAACGTCTCCATCTTAATCGCTGGCTTCGGGAGATTGATATCGCGATCGCGTCAATGTTGATTGACGCTCCGACGGCCAAGGTTAATTTTCTGCTATCACGGCTTGTCGGCAAAGCCAAAGAATGAGCCCTTGGGAAACTCGTTGTTGACGAGTTGGCGTTCCTCACGTTGGACGAGATCCAGCGCAACTTACGACTGGCGTTCGAACCTCCTCATGATGAGTTATGCTTGCGCGCAGACTTCTTCAAACTTCGACATGGCAAGCTGCCGATGCGTAACTACGTGCAGGAAACACGACAACTTGTCTTGTAAATTACTACACAGCCGATCGACATGACTTCACAAGTACATGTCTTTGTCTTCGGTATGCAGGAGGGCATGACACGCTACTGCCTCACGTGCCGAACCGAAGACACACGAGGAGGTCTTTGCCCTTGCGCTTCATAAAGATTACATGGTCGCGTCGTCATACTTGCATGCAGCGTCACAACTTCCGCGTATGTCTGGCCCAGGGCCCATGAAAATTGATGCGATTGAGACATCACGTGGTCGCAACAATCTTTTTAGCCGCAACATTCGTATTCAAAACAAGATAAAGTGTTTTTGGTGCGCAAGACAGGCCATCGTGCGACCGTTTGCCGAGCACCTGCGCCGGTGTCCATGAACACAGCTGTCTCCCGTGGAGATACGGTGTCGTCGGTGGTCCCGCCAAAAAACGAGAGGTTCCAGTAGGCTTGGGGCGCCCTACAGGCAGGAATGGAGCACGAATAATCCGGTGGCGACTCGATCTCCAAGCCTTAAAGTGATTCATACTCACTTCAACGCCACCACCACGCGTGACGATTCGAGACTGATCATCATCAGTCTCATCGTTGCTGGAGTGACTCAACCACTCCGAGCGTTGTTGGATTCAGTTGCATCCAGCAAATGCTTTCGAGCATCATGTTGGATCGTTCTCCTGTCTAAGATTACGGTTCGAGAAGGTGCGGGTGACATCGTTGTCAAACTTGCTGACGGAAAGACGCAGCGTGTCCCGCGCAAAACAGTAGTTTGTCGTATACGTGACGGTTTTCGAAGCAATAATGAATTATGGGTGTACGAGATGAAGTACGCATTCGATTGCATCTTAGGGATACCGTGGCTGTCACGATACCAGCCGACGACAGATTGGCTATCTCGATCCGTCAAACGACGAAGTGGATACGATGTGAGTGAAGTGTTCTCTCATTTGTTGGTTGCTTGATCAAATTGGCCCCACATCAGGGTCGTGGACGAAATCACCACCACTAGGGGTCAGCTCAGAGAGGAAGATCGCCCTCTATGTCCGGTATGTTCAGTCACGCTGATAGAACCACAACACGAGGCGGTCGAACAGGGGTTCCCGCGTACAAAAACATCGGTCAAACAAAGGTTCACGATTCCAACCGAGGCGGTCGAGCAGGGGCTCCCGTACACTACATCTAAGGCGGTTGACGACGAGGTCCCGTCACTTATTGACGAGAATGCGCGGACTGTGGATCAGTGTGTGAACAACATGGTGGTGACTGAGCCACCACGTCTAGCAGGGGTATGTCATCCTCCAGTAAAAGCGATGTGCCAGTCTTGAGACGCAAGAAACAGCGTAAACACTAGAAAGAAGCACGCCGATCGACGAGACGACGACATTCTCTAAACCACTTTGAGGACATCAACGCCATAATGACGGAATCCATATGAGCGCTCGAATATGTGGATGGATTTCCACATCGCGATCGCCACATTGAAGTAGCGAGCCCTCCGTGCAATGCTGCTGCGATCGCATCTCTCTCGGCTCTAGCATGGAAAGATTTTCTTCATGCCCTCAAGGTCGGTGACATCGAGCAAGTGTGCATCGTATGTACCGCCAAATCAGCTACATAATAAGTTTTGGAGGCTCGCTCAAAGAGCGCCGAGCCCAAATCAGCGCGCAAAGAACGAGCCGCAACACAGTCCTGGAAAGACCTTTGTGCTTCGGGCAACCTTGGTATGCTATTGCTCGTGAGTATGCCGATATCTTTTCGGAGACAATTCTTGCTGAGCTTCCAGCTGATTGTAAAGTGCGGCACGAGATTGACCTCGTGCCTGGGGCGAAGTATTGTGTAACGCGACAGTGGCTGTTACCTCGCATCAAGTCATCGCATTGATTAATTCTTTGAGGGCCGCCGTCAAGCAGGATTTGTTTGCGAAAGTGTATCCCCACATTCGAGCCCTATGTTCTATGCGAAGAAAGCCACCGGCTGTTGGCGCATTGTACAGGCTTTCAACAAGCTGAATGAAGCCACGATCCTGGCATAAGCGCCAATTCTGCGCAAAGACATGGTATATGATACCATGTCCAGCAGCGAGATTTTTCAGTGCCATCGACGTGACGGACATATTTCTAATGAGAGACGGTTATATTCCATTCACTGCGGCCAGCCACCCCGAGTGAGAGTTATGGAATGGCTAGTCATGCCACAAAGCCTTAAGAACGCTTCAGCTACGTTCAACCGGATGGTGACACAACTACTCTGCCCGCTACGTGGTTTTTCACCAACCCACCTCCACCCCTTTTTTTTAAAAACCCCGGCCTGAGCAACATCTTAGCGCCACGGAGGCTCACATTCGGCACTTTAAAAAGGTGTTTCAAGTGATGCGTGAGAACAAGTTGTATGCCAATTCGAAGAAGTGTGTCTTCTGTGCTCCCGAGATTCCAGTACTTGGCTGTTATGGCAGCAACGAATGTGTCCGTGCTGATCCCGAGAAAGTGTCATCGATATACTCATGGCCTACTCCCAGGAACCAATCTGAATTACGACAATGGCTCGGCCTGGCTATCTATTTACATAAGTATACGAAGAATTACGCCAAGTTAATTCAACTATTGTCGACTTTGCGGAAGAAAGACCCAGATTGGTCATGGAAGGCAGAACATTAATCTGCCTTCGATTTCGTGAATAAGAGCTTGTCTGATGCACCAGTGCTTATGCTGCCTGATGCCTCCAAGTCATTTCACGTTGTTTGTGACGCGAGTAACTTTGCGAATGGATCTGCCTATTGTAATGTGACGATGAGGTCCAAGAGCGCGTCGTGAGTTTTCAGTCGCGGCAGATGATGTTGGAAAAAACAATGAAACAACAGTGACCAAAGAGGTCTTGACCGTTTTTGGTGCAGTGGTATGACATTAGGTTATGAGCCCAACTGACGCGAGTTCAATTCTTGCCGGGTGCGAAGAGTCGATGTCTCGCTGGAAGCTAGCCAGTAGAATCAGAAGAAGTGCCCGGATGTCAATTAAGGGAAGTGTTGGACTAATATTGACACAGCACTGACCAATGAGGCCTTGATCATTTTGGTGCAGTGGTTCGACAACAGATGAAATCTGGCGAAAGAAATTCTTCGGTACACGATATAGAACTTTTGGGCTATGCGTTATGCTCTGATCAAGTTCAGGGTATATTCACTCGGCGAGAAGATGTTTTCAGTATATACAGATCACGCATCACTGCGTACCGCAGTCAAGACCCCTCACCTGTCTCAGCGTATGGCTCGTTAGTTGTCATTCCAATCAGAGTCGAACTTCGTGGTGTTTTACAAGCCCGGAAAGAATAATATTCTTGCTGACGCGCTTTCTCGGCGTCCCGATTACGACCACGACGCGACGTTGGCCATCAGCCAGGTAGTGCCGATGATGAAGACAATGACATTTGATTGTGCTGTACCGAACTGGTGGTCAATGCAATGGTCTCGACACGTGTGCTATCGGTCTCACCTCGTCTCAGATCGCTGAGTCGTATGATTTCTGCTAGTCAAAAATTATCTACTATCTTCGGCACCCTAGTGAAGTGTCACTCGCGAAAATGACGTTACTAAAGCGTGACGACATCAAGCTTTTCGGCTTTATGGTCCTCTACTGACGTACAATATGGACGTCTTTGAACCACCGCGCGTAGTCGTCCCTGCTGATGACGGCCTTCGAGCGCGATTGGTGCATGAATTTCATGACACCCCAGCTGGTGGTCATGTGGGTCTCGAAAGACGTTAACGGTCATTTCTCGAGTATTCTTCTGGCCACGCATGTACAAGTACATCCAGAAAATGGGTACGCTCTTGCGAAATGTGCCGCCATCTTCTCAAGCCTCATTACGACCGCTTCCTATTTCTACGGAAGCCTGGCATTCCATCAGTATGGACTTCATCATTGGGATTTTACCGGATGAGAAGAATCCCACGGGCGTCTTGGTTTTTGCGGATCGATTTAGCAAGATGATGCACTTTGCTCCAGTCTCCGCGCACATTACAGCGGATGCAACCGCGGAGGTCTTTATTGATCGCATATTCAGACACCAGGGCTTGCTAGAATACATCGTCTCCGACCGTGACCCGCGCTTTACTTCGGCTTTTCGGACAGGGCTATTTTTATTACTGGGCACGCGTTTGCTTATGTCTTCGGCGGCCCATTCAGAAACGGATGGGTAAACGGAGCGTATCAGTCGATTGCTTGAAGATGTCCTGCATAGTTATGCGACATCGTTCACGTCGTGGAGCTTATTCCTTCCACTCGCCGAATTTGCAATCAACAATGCAGTCGATGCGTCAACAGGATTGACGACATTTTTCGTGAGCACCGCGAGGCCCCCTCGCGTTTCAGCGCATCTTGCTTTCAAAGATTCACCACACACGAGCTCTACGCTTGGTGGGGGAGTATCTGCCGATGGTATTGCGCCGGAACATTTGATGATTGATTACGTTGTCGATAAGGTCGCTCACGATGCGTCTCATGCTGTTAATTTTGTGGCCAACGGCATCTCAAGTCCCGACACGATGCATCCCGTCACGCCCTCCTTAGCTAATTTTGCTCCTACAGAGCTCACTTCACCTATTAGCTCGGCTGCTGTGACCGACCTTATATTGCTACGACAAGGCATTACACGCTTTGTACGTGATGCCCTTCAACAAGCCGTCGACATGCAAAAAGAGAACGAGGCCAAGCGAGGTCGAAAGCATCTGTCAAAATTTAACGAAGGTGATAGAGCCCTGTTTTTCGACAAGTAGGCTGCAAGCACATCCTTGACGAATTTGGACGCCACCAAAGTAGCTTTAAGATTTATTGGTCCCTTTCGGGTTATCAAAGTTCATGGAGATGCCTTTACGCTAGACATACCTACCACTATGCGCTTGCACCCAACATTCTATGTCGGGCACCTTTAAGTGTACTTTTCGTCTGATCTTCTTTCGAACCTTCCTTATTCTCCGGTGCCGGCCTAACATCTGATATCCCCAGTCGACGATGCTGCCGACGACTGGGACCAAGTCCTGCCCGATGGCGTGCAGACTCGTTCTGCTGAGGCCCTCCAAAAGCGGCAGTATCGAGTTGGCGAAGACGATCCACCAACACCTGCTGCTCCCGTCAAGTCCTCTCAGCAGCCTCCGTCGCAGCCGCCGCACGATCTTGAGCACTCTCGGCCATCTCATGAGCATCTAGCAAGCCATTCTTCGCCTCCTCAGTCTCAGCACGAAGCATCCGCAGTTCGTCGCACGTCGGCACCGGCGTCCGATTATGTCAATCGGCGCTCATCGCAACAGACCTGGTCACCACTCGGCTGTATGCTGCGCACCTGCGTCAGTCGTCGCTGTCGCTACGTCCGATGTCACGCCGCTGATCATCCAACAAAAACGACGGCAGCCAGTAGGCACGGGGTGTCCTACTGGGTGGAAACGAAGACACGTTTTTGCGGTGGTGACGCAGTCTTCTAGCCCTGCTGTGCAATATGCACAGCTAAAAGTCACCACGTCCCGCAATGATCTGCGTTTGATCGCTTAGTGTTCACGTTGACGGTACGTCACGTCCATTTCGCGCATTGCTGGACTCAGGCGCGACGAACAATTTTGTCCACACCGATAGCTTACCCGTTCTCCCGTCGCGGTTGCGTTTACGCGAGTTTTCGGGGAAGATAATCGTCAAGTTTGCGGACGGCAAGCCCCGCACGCACCGAAATTGTTCGGTGGTGCTTTCTTACCGGTTCGATGCTTTCAAGAGCAGTGATTAATTCCAAGTTATCGACTTGAGCGGTTCATTTGATTGCAATTTTGGGATGCCGTGGCTTGCACGGCATCGACCTGACATTGATTGGCTAGATCGCACAGATCAGCCACGTGACATTGATGTCAATGCGGTTCTCGCCATTTCTAACAGGCCGACGATTCCGTGGCATCATGTTGCTGTCGTGGACCCCGACTCTAGACTGATCAAGCCCCCGAAGTGTGCGATGTCCCTTTGAGTGTGGTGCGTAACTCAGCAACCTCCTCCCCTCAGTCGAACAGTGGTTTCTCCGTCAAGAATAACACCCGCAGCAGTGGCAACGGGTCGAACAGTGTCTCCCATGAGTGTGCGTTCATCCAAAACCGCACGAAGGCGGCGATCTTCCGTGCGTCACGAGCAAGCAGTGGCCCTCTTGCGAGTGCGAGCTGCGTAAATTGCGTTAAGGCAGAGGCTTCCAGTGCGTGCAGTTTCAACCCCAACCGCATCGAAGCAGCAGCTATCGATGCGTCATGAGCGAGCAGTGGCTCCCGTGTTAGTCCCTCTGGAGGACACCACGTCGGAGCATCGGCTTCCAACGACTTACGCGGAGGTAGTGGATTCCGTACGACAGGTTATACCGGTTCGTGCTCCTGTGTCACCTCGTCGCCGGGGGCGGCGTGATCGTGTTTGTCCTCCTTTGTCGTCACCATCTCTTAAGCCGGCGTCTCCATTCGAGACCCTCATTGTCGTTAACATGACTGTTGCTGGTCCTAGCAGCCATTCGGAACAGGTCGCGAGTCCACCTCGCGACGCATCTAGCATCACGCAGCTTTCGGAAGACTCTTGGGATGAGTTGCTGCATGGTTTGAAGAGGGGAGAGATCGAACAACTTTTTCCAGTCGTTCCAAATCCCGATCTCATCAATCACGAGCATCCAGAAGAGATGGAACAGAAGTCCGCACGCGAGGAGAAGTTTGCGGCGCATTTTGGAAGGAGCTTGCTGCGTCAAAGAATCCTGTTCTCGCGCTTGCGCGCGAGCTTGCCAATGTCTTTCCTGACAAAATCCCTGCAGTCATTCTGCGGATAGAGGAGTGCGGCAAGAGATCGATCTCGTGCCCGATTCAAACAACTGCGTCACTCGACAGTGCCGTTCCCTCGTGACCAAGTCAAGGCTATTGACGCCTCCTTTTTAGAAGGCGTCGCGCCTCAGGTCACGTGCGTGAGAGCACGTCTTCCCATTCGTGTCTCTACTTCTGTGTCAATAAGGCGACGGGAGGATAGCGATCGTTCATGCTATCAAAAAACTGAGCGATGCGACTATTCCGGTGCAGACGTCAATCCTTCGGGAAGACATGGTCTTGGATGCCATGTCGGAAAGCACAATTGTCTCGTCTTTGGATTTGACAGACGGCTTATACCAGATCTTAATGCGGACTCAAGATGTTCCGATCACTGCCGTAAGCACGCCTAGTGGTATGCTTGGGAGCAGCTTGTCATGTTGCAGGAGCTCAAGAACGCCCCTGTTGCTTTCAACCACATGTTCTCCCATGCCCATTTCGCGACTTTGCGCCGATGTATCTGATGATATCTTCGTGCATAGTCGCGCATCCGATGGCGCGACTGAATTGGACGTGTATCTTGGTCACCTTCGTAAATTTTTTGATGCGATGCGTAAACGCAAACTGTATGCGTGCCTGAAGAAATGCATCTTCTGTTCTCCTGAGATTTCAGTGTTAGGCATTTACGTGAGCGCCAAGGGCGTTCGCGCCGATCCCGATAAAATCTCATCCATCTACTCATTGCCGGTTCCGAAGGACCAGAAGCAGCTTGGACACCGGTTGGGGCTGTCCAACTACCTGCCTCACTACGCCAAAACCTTTGCGGCAGTGACTCATCCATTATCACAGCTACTGAAGAACGACGCAACGCGTGGGTGTGGCGTCATGAGCATTAGGAGGCATTCGACAAGATCAAGAAGAGACTCTTGACAGCGCCTGTGTTACCGCTGCCGAATTATGACGCGCCATTCCATGTTGTCTGTGACGCGAGTGATTTCGCTATCGGCTGTGCGCTGATGCAACATGATGATGCGGGGAAGGAACGCGTGGTCAGCTATCAATATTGGCAGCTGAACCTTGCCCGTTCATGACAAGGAGTTGCTTGCAATGCGCTTGTGAAGTTTCTCGTTAATTGCTTGGAGAACAGACATTCGCCATCTTCACGGGGGTGTGAGCGCTTCGAGAGAGAGCTGCTAGACACCAACAACCTCGTAGTCCAGTTGCGAGAGGGGCTTCAGCATGAGAGAGCGCTGGTGGATCACTTGCGATGGTGAATTGACTAACCGCCAGAGCCGATACGCTCTCATGGTGGCGGATTGGAGCACAAGAATTACGTCACAAATCCACTCAAGGATCCCTTGGTTTCTCTTGTGACTACCTCAACAGTGCCTCCTACACCGGTGTTAGGCAAGCGACCTCGGCGCCTATTAGCCAAGACGATTGCCAAGGTCGCCAAGGCTACCAAGTCGAGTACAACCAGCACTCCCGCTTCGCCAGCCCTCAAGTCAGGGGTCTTTCGTGGTCTACCTTCGGCTACTTCACCTGATCCGGACGACGACACGGCAAACGAAGACACCGAGGTGGTCCGGACGTCCTTGGCTCGGTCGAGGTCTTCCCGGCAACGCTCCTCGCCTACCGATCCATCAACCCCAGCTGCCTCGGACGCTTATTTTCCACAACATGTTACTATTCCGGGTCCAGCATTGTTCCTGGACATGTTCGGACCTTCTGACTCAGAGACCGAGTCGGTTTTGGAGAAAAAGGTCCCCGCCCCAGTCGCCAAGGCGGACTCCACCCCAGGGGAGTTACCTACATTTCCAAAAGGTGAACTTCATTCCCTGGGTATATGCAGATGAAATCGTTCACTGCAGCGGAGATGGAGCTTTGGTCGGTAAACCTAGTCAACTCGTTAAGTATCGTGAAGATGACCCCTAGCAGCTTGGTCGACCGCCTGGAAGTGCCTTGGGTCTGGTTCGGTCCGCCAGATGGGAAGGTCCATCCGTTCTTTCAAGTGGAAGCCGTCGTTGATCAACTCTTCAATGCTCCAGAGCCTCCTAGTCACCCGACCATGGCTGTCAGCACGAGTCTCGACCCCACCTGTATCCTTCCAGCCAGTGGGCTGATTCGCGGAGTTGTAGGCGGCCTACCTGCGTTTTGACGAAGATCACAGCCAAGCAATTTGGGAGGCTACCCACTGCATTTGGATCTCTGGGAATCGAACGCGCTCCAGCACCTTCCTCTCTTCGTATTATAATGCGCGGGAAAATCGTCGTGGTCGTGCAGATCGGTCGTGGCGAGGGGTCGTTGACATAATCTTCAAAGGAATGAGCGATGGTCGGTGCGATATCGACATCCGGTTCGACCCCTTCTTCTGGCTCCTCGACCTCGCTGCGTGGTAT